TTTATGATCACAGGTAGACTAGGAGAATAAACAAACTGTCTGGGATCCACACATGTACAAATGAATTTGTCTTTTTTTATTTAAAAAGAATTAGGCTACTGAACACTAAAGACAACTTTGTTTCAATGGAACCTTTAGTGCTCTTTAACCCAGCAACACCAAAGACCACCCACAAAAATGTACCTTGAGAAAAGGGGAACTGCTTTCAGGCTTTTAAAACCTGATAGACATATATTCCCTTTGTTTCTTCTTAAGCAAACCATATACGTATCTTGAACTTTAATATTTTCTTTAAATAACGTGCTGTGGTTTGTTGCATATATATATATTCAACTGAACGAGGTTATAAGCATTTATTACCACTAAAAGAACTACCATTTATTGGTCATGCAAATCTCAAAGAAAATTGTAGGAAATAATCTGTGGATTGCCAGAATGTTGAAAATGATATGAGAAAATGACTCGTACTTTCAAGGGATATTTCAGTAATGACTACAATATTACATCTCAAATGTTATACCTAAATGCACAAAAGATGCAGGATAAAAATAAGCATACAGAGGATTGGGCTGTATAGTTGACAAAGCTAAGCTCAAATCTCTTGCACAGTTACAAGAGCAATGTAAATCAGAGAGATGGGAAATTTGTCCATCTTTTCTTACAATTGATAGACTAGTTACAAAATCAGAAGTACTGGAGGAAGGTTAAACTACATTTATATCAGAGGAGGATGAAAGGAAATTCTACGATAATCAGATCGTTAGAAAAAGCAAGCAAGCAAAAAGGGTAAATTGCATGGACTCTTCCACAGAATTGCAGTGTAATAGTGACAATGTGAGGGTAGGGAATGGAAATGAAACAGCAAACCTTGCCAAAGGATAAGCAGGACATAATGGAAACGAGTGTTACATTACTCAGTGACTTGTATGCTCATAAGTTAGGTGCAATACATGTTTCCCCCCCTTATGGAGATAATGTGAGCAGTAAGTGATAATTAAATATTTCGACTCACCACTTTGGAAAACAAAACAGAGATAAAATTCACAGCAAACTGCTGGAGGAAGGCTATGATATCGGCTATCACCTTTGGGGCTTCTGATGGAAACTTTTTGGTCTCATGTTAGAAAACTCATCCCAGAGCTATTCTAGGGGCACGTTGCCCTAATTCTGTTATTATGGTGTTATGGAAATGACCTTATTCACTGGATTTTTTTGGTGACTGATGCCAACAAATATCTTTTATCACTTTGACTTTGATCCCAAAAACATGCATGTCACTAGCTCCGTTGAACTCAAGAAGACCACTAGTGTAATATAATTTTTATACAGACATTCATAGAGGTTCTTTTCACTGCCTCTTCATAGTGGGGCAAATGCACAGGTAAGCACAAGTGAGTCTAAGAAGGTCCTGAGTCTTAGCTGGTATAATTTAGGCTTTCTTCTGAACCTCTTAATGAATAAGCTGCACTGGCTTGGACTTTCTCTGGTCTTCGAGTATGTCTACACTGTAGTGTAAGCCCAGGGTTAGTGGGACTTGAGTCAGCTGACGTTGAGTTAGAGAACTCAGGGCTTGAGCATCTACACTGATTGTTAACCCTATGTTAAGGTTTTTCTAATGCAGGCTGGAACCTGAGGCTTCAGGGTCCACACTGAAACACACAAATCTGAGTGAAACTCAGACTCTCTAGCACGCTCCCAAAATGTGGCTGCTTTAGTCCTTTGACTGTGGTGTCCCTTGACTGTCCACTTTACATGTTACAAGAAATTTGAACAGTTCGCCAACCCAGCCTGCCAAGAAGTCTTTTTGGTCTGTGTGCTCCCAGCTACCAGAGCCAGCAACATGGAGGAGGAACTTTTTCAAGAACTTCTCTGGCTTTTGCTTTCACTCTTGTGTCAGGAAATAGGCAGAGCTACATGAGATGTTGGTGGACATTTAAGCAGCATTTTCTGACCTCAAAGCAGAGGTGACATGTAGCTGTGGAGAGTGTGTGTGTGTGTGTGTTTGTGTGGGGGGAGCACAACTGAAAGGTTCTGTGGAGGCACATGACCACCCCACATGTGGCCACTCCCTCCACCTCCTGAAACGTGATCTGTACCTAGACAACAGACACTAGCAACTACCTCCTCCTGCTCCCTGTTCTGTGGCTGCCAGCCCTTGCAGAACTTGCAGGCCTCCCTGAACGATCCTCAGTCAATTGAGCAAGTGTTCAAAGCAAGACCAACGAAAGGGGCAGCACAGTTAGGATGCACAGTCCGCCATGCTCCATCAGGGTGGGTGGTGCAGGGTGGGATGCTGCTGGGGGCTGGATCATCTCTGCTGACAAAAAGTTGGAGAATGATTAGTCACTTTTTGTTGGATGGGGGGGAATATGACACCCCCAAATTGCCTTCTACCTTGATAGGCACACTGGAGGCTGCTCCTGTTTGAATGCACTGAAGCATCATCATCAGGGTCTACTATCCCACTCCCACTCTCCCGCCTCAGCCTGCTCACCTCACTCAGTCCTGGTCTCTCAGGCTGGGTGGGGTTCCATCTGACCCATTTGGTGCTGAGCACCACATTGCAGCTCCTTTTCCTGATCTTCAAGATGCAACCCTGACTCACCTCTGTGGACGGGTGGTCTGCAGAGCAGGCAGCAGGAAACCGTGGGACTCCAGCAGCAGGGAAGGAGAAGCATCCCCATGTAGTGGGGCACTGGGGCAGGGAGCTCAGCCTGCAGTCAGCAGTCCTGCTGCTTCCTTCCGCCCTGCGCTGCACAGACACACAGTGAGTGCCGCCACCAGGGGGAGCCACTGCCTCATCGCTGCTGGGCAGGGGTGGGAGGGAGCATGTTACCCAGCATGCCCCCCATGCATCACCTCTGCATCAAAGGCTCCTGACACAGCTCATGATGGAGCAGGAGGAGGAGGAGAAATACCCCAGCAGGCATACTCTCACTGGATGCTGCTGCTTATGACACTTGCTATAGCAGCTGATGCCCCGTTCATAGACTGGCACTTCTGGCCCACGGTCACAAGCACAGACTGGTGGGATCCTACTGTCATGCAGACCTGGGATGACCAGCACTGGGTCTAGAACTTTCACACGAAGAAAGCCACATGTCTAGCACTTTGGGAGAAGCTTGCCCCTAACCTCCAGTGTCAGACTCATGAGGCACACACAGTCACACTCATGAGGCCACTCTTGCTGGTCCAGGAGTGGGTTCCTATAGCCATCTGGAAGCTAGCTACTCCAGAATGCTACAGGTACGTTGCAAACTAGTTTGATGTTGGAAAGTCTACTATAGGTAAAGTGTTGGCGGAAGTTTTTGAGGCAATCAAATGTGTGGTTCACTCCAAGGTGGCAGGCATTAAGAACATAAGAATGGCCATCCTGGGTCAGACCAAAGGTCCATCTAGCCCAATATCCTGTCTTCTGGCAATGGCCAATGCCAGGTGCCCCAGAGGGAATGAGCAGAATAGGTAATCGAGTAATCCATCTCCGGTTGCATATTCCCAGCTTCTGGCAAACAGAAGCTAGGGACACCATCCCTAGCAATCCTGGATAATAGCCGTTGATGGATCTATCCTCCATGAACTTATGTAGTTCTTTTTTGAACCCTGTTATAGTCTTGGCCTTCACAACATTCTCTGGCAAAGACTTCTACAGATTGACTGTGTGTTGTGTGAATTAATGCTTCCTTTTGTTTGTTTTAAACCTGCTGCCTATTATTTCCGTTTGGTGACCCCCTAGTTCTTGTGTTATGAGAAGGAGTAAATAACACTGCCTTATTTTATAGACCTCTATCATATCTCCCCCAGCCGTCTCTTTTCCAAGTTGAAATGTCCCAGTTTTATTAATCTCTCCTCATATGGAATCTGTTCCATACCCCTAGGCAATGAAAAATACTCCAGAAGTAATTGTTGACTTTGAGAGAATAGGGTTTCCAAACTGTGCTGGGGCCATTGATGGGACTTATATGTCCATAGTGTGCCCTTCTCAAGGAGTGCGTGAGTACATAAACTGCAAATGATATTACTTCATTGTTATGCAGGCCCTTGGGGACCACAGAGGGTGATTTATGAACACCAACATGGTTGTGCTGGGAAAGTTTGTGATGATGTGTTTTTTTCCTGATCAGGAGTCTACACTCATGGACAGGCTGGGACACTATTCCCACCAAATGACATTGTCATAAATGAAGTTACTGTCCCCACTGTTATTCTGGGAAAACCAATGTACTCCCTTTTTCCTTGGCTTATGAAATTGCACCCTAATTTAAGAAGCCCTGGCAAAAGATGGTTTAATTACACTCTGAGTAGATGCAGAAGAGTTATTGAATGTGCATTTGGCAGATTGAAAGCCTGTCTCCACAGCCATTTGGATTCCAGTGTCATCAATGCATTACTGTGGTGGTGCTCTTCACAACAAAGGTGAGCCATTTCCCCCTGACTGGACCTAGACAGTGAGGAGCTGCTAAACCGTTACACTCAGCCAAAAGGGGCAGCTGGAGCTGGATGCACCCAGGCAACAGAAGTCAGGGATGCTTTGTGCTCCCACATTATGGTCTTGTGTGGCCCAACGGGGAAGGGGGAATAGTGCTGTTACCAACTCATCCAGGATTCTCCCAGGAACTTACACTTTGGTGGTGGTGTGAGCTGACTACACAGTGTCTAGGTCTTCTTTCAAACCTTTATTTAACAGCAAATGGAAATCATACAGTCGTATTCGTTCCCTGACTATAAGCTAGCTATCTGTAACAGCCAAAGCAAATCTGGGGAGCTCGATGGACTGAGATGGATTCACCATCCGAATCTGCCTTCCTCAGGTGGATCCTTCTTCCCTCGGCCGCACTCAGCTCCCCCTTCACTATTTATAGTGCAGTGAGAGATTTCCTGTCAGCTTTAATGATACATTCAAACTAGCAACCATCAGCTACAGCAACTGCTAAAACATTTGTTAACCCTTACCTGACCACTTGAGAGAGAGAAAGCAAAGAAAAAAAACCTAATTAAGACTATTCAGTTCTACAGTAAAACCATGCAGTGAACACTCAGTCCTCCAATCAGTGAGGCAGGGCAGGTAAACACCAAATACTCAGTACTCAAGTCACCAGTCAGCGTGGCAGAGCAAGTCACATGCACTCAAAGAGTTGACACTCAGCTTGGAAAACACCAAGGTCGGCTACACTCAAGGTGTTGCAGGGGAGGAGGCACAAGAGAATTCTCTCTGCTCCTGCTATAAGTACCATTATGAATGTGCGGGAGTGGGGAGAGCTCAGTGAAGGGGTGGGGGGAGGGGAGTCTTGTGCCAGGCAGTGTACTTATGAATGACATGAGCACTGATGAAATTAGGGGTGGGGTTATTCACAGTATGGATTGTAAGGAATTGATTGAAGTATTAATTGCTATAGATAACTGTATTGAGGGATAGTCTTTGCATATTGATTCCTAAGTGTCCCTGATCATGTATTTGCCTTTTGTTATGTTGAATGCACGTTATATGATGTGAAGCAGTGATAGCAATAAACATTATTGATGAAATAAAAAGCTTTAGTGATAAACATGTCTTAGAAAAGACCATTCACCATTGCTAGGCCGGCCTGCTGCCATTACCACACCGAAACACCAGTAACAACAGAACATTACAGAAAAAATAATAAAAACGAAGTACATGAAACCATGTACAAGACAGAAACCCTGTACTGTAGCATGTCCCCTGGCCACCTGTTCTCCTTTCCCTTCTTTTCCCCACCCCTTGCCGCTTACTTGGCCCTGTGGGAGGGGGGTAGAGGCACCCACAGGGGAGGGGGTAAATATGGAGGGCTGCATGAGGCAAGGTTGTGCTGCCCAGCTGCGCATGGAAACTCATTGCGTGTGCTACCCAGCCAGAGTCTTCCAAACTGCTTCTGGACTTCAGCACAGGGTGGCATGCAGGGGACTCAGGCTGTGATGTGGGTTATGCTACATGAGCCACTTCTTGCAGTCATTAGTAAGATGAGCCACTCAGATAATTCTTTTTGCTGAGCTCTGTCCTTCTACCTTAGCTACCATTCCTGAAACCCTGTCCTCAAGCTGTGCGGCCAGCCTGAGCCTTTCCTCCTGGCATGTCTTTCCTCTACCCACAAGTCCCTCCGTCTTTGGTAGTGGACCTGCTGGTTGGCCCACTCCAGCACTTTAACCGTAAGTTCATCACGGAAATCCTTCCTCTTGGAACATTGGCCCAGGCTTCTGCTGCAGTGTGGCTGAGCTATGGAGGTACGGCAATCAGTAGAGGTCAAGGGTCCTGGAACAACAAGATACAGAGGATTATTGTCTCATTTAGGCCACAAAGGAATCAGCAGGATGCTGCATTAGCTTCAACTTGGCTTACCTTGCTACGGCTGCGTGCAGACACTCAGAACTCCACAGCCTTCCTTTCCCTCCTTCCAGCACATTTCTGGACAACATTTCAACCCCCTGTTGTCCTTGTGAAAATGATTTTGTCACCTCTGGACTGCATGGATCACCTCTAACTGAAATGGATTAGATTTGTAAATGGAACGTATTTCCACTCTCCCACCCCCACACAGTTCACTGTTTCCAGACCTCTTAACAGACTGCCGAATGGTTACAGAGCAGCATACTTACAGGTATGGCAATGTAAGGTTATTATTTTTTAAGAAACAGGAATGGTCCTTGCTAAAATCTCTCTCTCTCTAGTAAAAATACACTTTAAAGGTGTTCTTTACTATTTGCATTTCCTGGTCGCCACGTTGAACTTCATGTGGTCGTGGGGAGGTGGAGGGGAGACACTAAGGCGATGGCATACAGTCTGCCATTAGCAGATACATGTTGCTAGTCGGGGAGTTTCATAACTCTTGTATTGGTTCATAGAGTGGAAATCCTTCCCATTACTATATTAATAAACATTAGAATGGAGCCAGAAACGTATCACTTTCTGGGATGGTTACCATCCCTTCTGTGTCTGCTGCAGGTGCCGCAGAGGGCCGTTCCTCAGGGGTATCAACCAGCTCCTCAAATATGGACCTAGAATGTGCTGCTTCTGGCTCCCATCAGTCCCCATACTGGATTCTGGGGCCAGCAGGGCACCATCCTAGCATGTGGTCAAACTCCTTATAAAACTGGCATGATGTCAACATGTTGCCCAAGGTGTGGTTCTGGTCCTTGGTTTTCCGGTACTCACTCTTGAGCCGTGTAATCCACTCCCTGTACCAGTCAGTGGTCCAGTAAATTTGCAATGCTGTCACTCCTGGCACTTCTATAGAATCATAGAATTACAGGGTTAGAAGTAAAACATTTGTTAACCCTTACCTGACCACTTGAGAGAGAGAAAGCAAAGAAAAAAAACCTAATTAAGACTATTCAGTTCTACAGTAAGGGTCATCGAGTCTAACCCCCTGCTAAGATGCAGGATTGCTTGTGTCTAAACCATCCAAGATAGACAGTGCTAGCCAGCCTCCTTTTGAAAATCTCCAGTGAAGGAGATTCCATAACCTCCCTCAGCAGTCTGCTCCATTGTGCTACTGTTCTTGCAGTTAGGAAGCTTTTCCTGAGATTTAATCTAAATCTGCTATGCTGTAGCTTGAACCAAATGCCTATTGTCCTACCCTCTGTGGCAGGAGAGAACAACTTGTCTTCATCTTTTTTATGGCAGCCTTTCAAGTATTTGAAGACCACTGTCATGTCCCCTTAATCTCCCCTTTTCCAAACTAAACATACCCAGTTTTCTCTTATGGCTTGCATTCCATCCCTTTGATCATCTTTGTTGCTTGCCTCTGGATCCCTTCCAGTTTCTCTACATCCTTTCTACACATTGGTGACCAAAATGGGACACAATACTCCAGCTAAGGCCTAACCAGTGCTAAGTAGAGTGGTACTATCACCTGCCATGACTTGCATGCTTTGCCTCTGTTAATGCAACCTAAAATTGAATTTGCTTTTTTTTCCACAGCATCACATTGCTGACTCATGTTGAGGTTGCGATCCACCACAACTCCCAGATCCTTCTCAGCAGTGTTGCAGCCAAGCCAGTTACCTCCCATTCTGTATTTTTGCATTTGGTTTTTCTTCTCTAAGTGTAGCACTTTACATTTATTTGTCTTGAATTGTATTTAGTTGCCTATAGCCCAGTTCTCCAATTTATCAAGATCTCTCTGACTCTTAGCTCTATCCTCCAAAGTGTTGGCAATTCCCCCTAACTTTGTGTCATCTGCAAATTTGATCAGTGTGCTCTCTATGCTTACACCCAGATCATTCATAAAGATGTTAAACAACACCGGACCCAGAATAGATCCCTGTGGAACCCCACTTGAGACCTCCCTCCCATCTGACATCATTCCATTAATAGGTACTGTTTGTCTGTGGTTGTTTAGCCAGTTATGTATCCACTTAATAGTAGTTCCACCAAGCCCGCATTTCTCCAGCTTATTTATCAGAGTGTCATGTGGGACTGTGTCAAAAGCCTTGCTAAAGTCCAGGTATATTATTATATGCATTCCCCTTACCCACCAAACCAGTTACCCTGCCAAAGAAGGAAATCAAGCTGTTTTGTCATGATTTCTTCTTGATAAATCCATGCTGGTTGCTAGTGATCACCCCTGTATCCTCCAGGTATTCACAAATTGAAAATTTTATACAGTGCTAGTCAGGCTGACCGGTCTATAATTCCTTGGCTCCTCCTTTTTGCCCTTTTGGGCACTACTTTAACCCTTTCCCAGTTTTCTGGGACCTCTCCTCTCATCCATGAGTTTGTAAATATTATCATCAGCGGCTCCAAAATTTCTTTAGCTAATTCCTTTAGTAACCTCAGGTAAATAGCATCAGGACCTGCTGATCTGAAATCATTCCAATTGGTCAGAAGATCTTTGACATGTTCTTTACTAATCGTGATCTGCACCTCTTCCGTTTTATTGTATTTCCTACGGGGCATTATTTTTCTACTGATTTCCTTACATTCAGTCAACACTGGTGTTTTTACGCAGTACATAGATCGTCACTACTGCCAACATGTCTGTCATTACACAATATATAGCTTGTCACTACTCATTGGCTGTGAGGAAATGAGATAATTATTTCTGCTGTCTCCATCCACTGTAAATAACTAAGAGCACTAAGGTGACAGCCATCACAGATTCATCTTCCTCTTTTACTGTATAATACAATAACAAAGTCATAAGTTTTCTCAGAGAACTATTCCCAGATAAGATCTCCCTGCGGGGGACCAACATTTCACAGCATTGCAGCCTCCAGGAAAGCAGTATGAACTGAATGACCCTGACTGGTTTGTCAGTCTGCTGGCAAAAACAAACAAAATGCTAAATATACTCCCATGAGGTTAGGAGTGTTCAGAAAGCCTCTTTACTGCTGTGTCTCACTTGTTATTTCAGCACTGCTACTGATTTTAAACACTTCGGCTCAAACCAGTGAATCAGAATAGCTCACTCAGTCCTGGAACATCCTGTAGGCCAGCTGCCATTGTGTGATTAGCCAATGGAACCATCAGGACCGAGGCACCAGGGAGTCTACTAGTATTGCAGACTAAGGGTGGCAGTGGTTGTAGCAGTGAATCAGTCAGCTTTCTCTATCAAGTGGTGTCACTTACCACACAAACTCGGAGATGATGAAAACCAGGCTACTTTGTTTGAGAGCACTCGATATTTGTAGCTGCTCTCGAGCTCCACCTACTGGAATTTGCTCAAAACACATCGCTCAAACCTCTTCTCACTCAAAGTGTGTGTTAAAGTATGAAGGCAATAAATACTAACAATAAATATGACAATCACTATAATAATATAAAGAGAGCTGGTTAGGAATTTTCTGCCAGAATGTTTTGTTTTGGTCTTAAAATGCTGATTCATTGAAAGTGACATGTTACTCAGTAAACATGCTGCTTTTCATGATCATTCATTTCCAAACAAAAATCGAGGTGGTGGGGGGGGCGGGACATTTGAATAATGTCAAAACATTTCATTTCAATCTTCTGGAACATAAAGCTTTTGGTTTTGTTTTTTTTTAAATTACGTTGTTTCAATTTTTTAATTTCATATTATAATATAAAATCTGCAAGGTCAAAAGCAGACAGTAACATTTCAATTTCATAAAAAAAATGTGGCAATTGACCTTAAATGCATTTCAATTGACCTTAAATGCAATATTTTTTTCCTTTGGAAATTCAGCTAGCCAGAAACTTCCATTTTTTTCATTTATTTCTGTTCTAGAATGAAATATATTTCAAAGTCACAAAACAAACCTCCAAACAAAAAACTTAGTTCCTTCACATCTCTAAATATAATATAAATAAATGTGATTAGGATGTCTGTTTACTTGGCAATTAAGGAATACAACAGCCCTGAGGAGTCCAGAAGACCCAGGCTGTGACCAATTTATCAATCTGCTGGCAAATGCTTTCAATAGTGGGGGATGGTACAGAGAAGAAAGTTCTTCAAAGTGCTTCTGTTTTCCTACCATATTACCTCTGTCTCACTTGTGTGTGGCTGCAGCCAGCTGCCCTTCATCCAGGCACTGACTTTGGCTGAACATTGAGAGAGCTGGGAGCTGGTCCTATTTATATTGAATGTAAAGGAGCTGGGGTATCATCTGCATACTGCTAACACTTCAATCCACTTTGACTCACCTGCTCTCCTAACAGTTCACGTAGATGTTGAATAATATTGGGAAGAGGATTGATCCTGTGGGACTCTGCAAGGGAGGGATTTGGTGGTGGAACAACAGTTGGCCATAATATACCATTGGTTTGGTACAAGAGGAAGCACGTGAGCCATTATAGGGCATTTCTGATCACTGCTGCAGTATTGGTAGTAGACAAGAAGTAGGTTCTTTGGCTCCGTCACAGCAGTGGCATAACCTGAGAGAAATTCTTTGTGCCCAAATCTGACTGTATCAGAGTGTTTTCTAGCACTCAAACTTTCTTCCTTCTCACTTTTTCTGTGGCAGATCATCTGAGAAACATGGGACAGAGGACATCTGCGTGTGCCATAGAGTGGAAGAGGGCACTTTGGTGCTAGTCAGGGAGGGGCTGTAACATCTACATTAACTCCTCTCCTTTTTCATACTTTAGTTGGGTACAGTTTTCTATAAGCACATCTTGAAACATGGCAGGGGCCAAGAGTATTGTAGGACAGACCATGTTGCTGATTTCTTCCTTCCTTGTATCAGACAGTTTTTATTTCTGTGTGGAGGTGGATGAGGTCTGACCAAAATAGGATTGCTGTTGTATTTCTTATGTTTACATCCCCCCTGGGGTCTGATAGTCTCTATTGCTTGGAGGATTTGGTTAGGCTGTCATAACAGAGGCATTATCAACATAGATATTTAAGTCTCCAAAGAAGATATGTCTTGTGAACTTCATCATCATATTAGATGATGTTTCTACCAGCTTCCTTGTGTTTATAGATTCAACAGGAAGTGGAAGCTAATCTTGTCTCTAGTGTCACAGATTAAGGGGATACACTCAAACATTTAGATTCAAGGGAGGGTTTATTCTATTGGAGCTGTGACAGGGTGGACTCACTCCTACCTACTTTATAGCCTCACAAATGGCTTGGAGAACTTCTTCTGGTGTATTACCTCATGAGGTTTGTTTACAATGTCCTTTTCAACCCCCTCTCTGATCCATACATCATAATTCTTTACAGTTTCTCCTTAGTTTTCTGTCCAGGAGAGGAGATGGAAGGGAACAGATCTCTCTACATGGAGATTTTTCCTGGTTCTGGCTCTGCTAGCTTGTCTCCTTCTCCCGTGCACTTCCTTCCTGTGTATTCTCATATCTCCTGTGTTAATGGGCCAATTTGCTCTTTAGTCCTCCCCCAGCCCATTCTAAGCCATTAATTAGACTCCATCAGGTTCACCATGGTGGGAATTAATTGTGTTTAAGTGACCAGAGTGCTGGCTCAGCTACTGTTCCCAGCCCTCTCTCACAGAAGCCCAGAAAGAAATGAAATCGGCTACTCCAAATCCAAACCTGTCCTTTTAGGATCTGGATCAGTAGTGAATGAAGTGTCTTGGAGGATAAGATGAGCTGACACAGGGCCTTCAGGTTTCTGTGACGCAAACCAGGTCAGGAGACTCATTATTGCATTCAAGAATTCCTCACGCCCTGGGAGTTATGTATATTTCACAGCATATCATTTGTAGACTATGTTATATTTCATCTTGTTATGATAAATCAGTTAAAAAGAGAATACAGACTATATCGCAACAGGAGTGACGTTAGACATTAATGTTTGTAAAATAATTTGGAAGCTTCAGATAAAAGGAGCTATATAAGTGCAAAGTAGTAGTGTTTTATTACAAAACTTTTTCACTCTGGACACATTGTAGCCCTGATTTTAGCAAGGTGAGGTCGCTTGGACTAATGAGGGTACTTTGAACTACCTATAGATATTTGTCATTTCTAACTATATCACCACAAATTTGCTCCCTGCTAGTGAAACAAACTGTATGGCAGCTACTGTAGGAATTACAGTAACACTAGTTCAAACATGTGGGCTAAATCAGACTCTTGTCTAGGCCAGCAAGATTAGGCCAAAATGATGTCTGTCAGACAGCCCAGCTCTTATGTTAGTCAGTGCCTAAATGATTAAGTAGGAGATAAAATTCCCTAAATGTTGTACTGTGCTTTTTGTTTTCTTTCTTTCAAATGAATTCAAAGGTGGAAAAAAATCTTTAAAAAAGCTGGTGAGAAGGTGAAAGCCTCTGATGGAGCTCAAGCATACAGATAATTGAAGTAAACAGAAATACAAAGAGGCTTTAGGCATTAAGAAACAGAATAAAACACTCTATGGAATCATTCAGTGTGTGAAAGTATTGACCCTGTGTTAGTGTCCTAGAGGTATTTACTTACACAGTCTCCAAGCTAACCTTTTTGTTGAACAAATGTCTCACACTTCCAGAAGTGACTAAAGAGCTACTTAACTTGTGAGCCAGCAGAATTTTATCCACTTATCTAGAATGTGTCCATCAGAATCTCAAAAGAGAGAGGAATAAAGGTGTCACTGTCTGGTCAGTTATATTTATGGTAGTGGCCGTAAGTGTAAAGAGCCTGTTAGTGTTTTCGTTATAAACCCAAGGGACTCAGCCCAGATAAAATTTGTTCTCTACAGTAAAGACAAAATAATGGGGTAGGAAAAGTGGAATTAAAACCCTATGACCCAGAACTGGATAGGTGCACTGTACCTATATAGGTTTATAACTAGAGAGAACAACATATTTTATGCACTGCCTGTCATACTCACCACACCACAAGGTGCCTTACAGCAGTTCAGTGGCTGCAGCTAGTTAAACCACAAGCAGAAAAGCTGTTCATCTATAAACTGAAAAGGTTTTTTCAGAGGCAAATATTGACACTTAGTTTCATGTGTATTGGGACGGATATTTTCAGTAGTCTGCATGGGACAGCCCAAACGCAACATTTGATATTGTTGTCATCAATGTAAATGATATTATCATCATTGTGCATTGTTAAGCACCAACAATATGTGTATCAAACACAGTAAAAGCCTCCTGGTATTATACATGCATAGTTTAAAGCTGAAAACCAAGGAAAAAACCTGCCCATTGAGTTTATATTCCTGAAATCAAGAATATTGTAAAAGTGACATTACAGTTTTGCAGTTATATCTAGTTTAAATATTTTCATTTACAGTAATAATCAGGTACATTCAACAGAAACATGGTATTTGGAATTACTGCAAGATGTCCCGTTCTTTTTCAAAGAATCAAGAAGTCAGTATGTGGTCTTGCAACCCTTTTCAGCTGTACAATGTGTGTGTGAGATGCTCCCATAAGCTTGTATCATGAATTCTATTCCTATAGAGCAGGGTTCTGCAACCTTTGGCACGCTGCCCATCAGGGAAATCCACTGGCGGGCCGGGACGGTTTGTCTACCTGCAGCATCCGCAGGTTCGGCCAGTCACAGCTCCCACTGGCTGTGGTTCACCGCTCCAGGCCAATGGGGGCTGTGGGAAGTGGTGGCCAGCACGTCCCTTGGCCTGCGCCACTTCCTGCAGCCCGCATTGGCCTGGAACGGTGAACCGCGGCTAATGGGAGCTGTGATCGGCTGAACCTGCAGACACTGCAGGTAAAGAAACAGTCCTATCCCACCAGCGGATTTCCCTGGTGGGCCGTGTGCCAAAGGTTGCCGATCCCTGCTATAGAGACAACTAACAGCATACAAGGGTGGGATGAATTCAGAATCTTTGTCAGCTGAGAAAAATTCTAAAAGAACCATATAAATTATACAGTGGATGAGGGATAGTTAGATAATGACTGTAGATCCTTCAGTACTTCCATGGGCCAATATTTTATACAAGGTGGGGGAGGGGAAACAGGAAGTATAGGGATCACAGTTGACTGTCAGCTACTAAGGAAAATGCAACACTTTGAACAGTCTTTGTTGTTGTCCTAGAAGCAAGTAAAGTAACTTGAGTGCACTGCAAGTCCCCAAAAACTTACCATTATGTGAAAAAGTCCACAAAAAGTGAAAGTTGCAAATGATAAGTATTTCGCTACTCAAGCATGTGTAACAGTCAGCTATTCCAGAGGCAGGCCTTAATGTTGTATGAATGTTAATACTAATGACAGCACTATGAAATAGCTTGAGACAAAGTATACTGAAAATGGCACAAGAAACCTTTAGTTAGAAGTGATGGACAAGCTAGATTTTTGAACAACAGGAATGTCAAATTGTGAACCCTTCCTGAGAACAAAACCATCCTCCTCCTCCTTCTGGCAATATGTTTACTTTATAGATGACCTGAGGAGGAAAATAGCTTCTTTTTTAAAGGCCTTCTTTTTTAAAGGCCAAGATTGTCCTGCTGTCTCAGGAACAGACATGCAGGGGGATGTGATATGTCTCCCTATCTCTGCTGCAGATTATTTCCCCTGGTACGCAAGGTCAGCTACCCTGACTAGCATATCACTTGGGTGAAGAGAGCATCAAAGATCTAGTCACTCTGCTACCCTGCCCACCCACATGGGTGTGAGAGGGAGTAGCAGCCTGGTGGAGATTTCTGTCCTTCCTGTGCTGTGACTGGCTGTATGAAGGTGTGTAATCATTACTCCCCTAACTCCCTTGCATGGACCCATAGCCTGGATAACAAATGAGCTATTAGATTTTAATACCATAAGTGATATACAAAAAAAGACATGCAAGATTTTTTACCTTAGAAAAATCATGTCTTGTGTTCCCTGTTTTACTGGAGGTCTACCGTGGAGCCTTAATGTAGGTCAGGAATTCTCTCTGTTTGTAATAGAAGAAAGGGGTGCAGAATCTTTACCAACCTATCTTAAGCACTCCCCCCTCAACTAACTAGGTCTCAGTCCTTCAGAATCTGTGAGGTAGAATCTTTGAAGAAAAAGAAGGCAAATCAACAAATTAATTCCTGATGTAAAACCAAGCAGGAAAAACACTCGGAAGAAATAACAACAAGAACAACAAAAACAACAAAAAAACCCAACGCCTCCACCACCATTCCAAAAAAACCCCCAAATCAAAACAAACAAACAAAAATACCCCACACAACCTTTTCAGGCCTTCTTTCTAAATCAGTAAGAAGGAAAAAAGGGGCATATAACTATTTTTTTTTCCTTTGCAGGTCACCTGGATGGCAGAACTAAATGTGAAAAGTGCTCATTCAACAAATTGTGGAGTTGAATTATAAACTTTGGGACAAGGATCATATCTCCTGATGTAGGTTTACACGTTCCTTATACAATGGTGGCCTAATCTGGGTAAGGATCTTTGGAGGCTACTAAAATATGAACAACAATGACTAAAACCAAGCTTGAGTTTTAGGTTTTCCAGTTCTAACCATAACTGTAGCTTCCCTGGTCACAGCAAAGCAGAGCTTTAAGTACTTTTAAAGCCCTTTAAACTATTCCCATTATTCTCCACATTTGAAAAATTGCTTAAGAATACCAGCCTTTTGAAGTAATACTGTTCTGTTGGCCAGACTTTATTTTTCTTTCTCTGAGAATAGTCCCTCGGGCAGTGATACTCAGACTGAGGCTTGTGAGCCTTCAGGGGGCTCTTTAATGTGTCTCTTTGCAGCACATGATATTAAAACACTGTGTGATTTAATTATTAACCAATCAGGATGCTTTTACTATGTGATTAACCAATTAAGTTATCAACTTGCACTAAGTGATTAACTTACTTGCTGTGAGACTAATATATCTATATATGAAATATATAGTATTGTAGTATGTGAAACAGTGAATTCTCACAACTGTGGTTCTTTTGTGTAGTTTTGATCACTAATTTGGCTCCTGAACCAGGGAGGTCTGAATATCACTGTTCTAGGGCATAGGTGTAATAAAAAGGTAGAAGTCCTTTAACTCCGTAGAATAATACCCCTCTCCATTTCTGTTTATTTCTCTGAAGGCCATCCCTAAAATGCATGTGCCTCCACTTAATTTTAATCAAACTGCAGCAAATTACTTGTACCTCCCGGTGAACCCTCATGAACAACCCTCTCAAAGCTTGCAAATGTATTGCAGTTTGGCTGAAGACTCCATTTTCAATCTAGTCTGAATGTGTCCATGGGAGATCCAGGAATGGAAATGCTGATAATTGAGCTACCAAGTGGAGGAAGGTATTGAAGTAAAGAAACAAGATCACTATTTTGTGATCCCATTCTCAATATAACTATTACCTTTTCAGTATGTATGTACTTGGGATATATGTGAAAACAGGGACTGGAATGTAAGATCAGACACATGGTCTATCTAGTCCTATACGAAGCTACAAAAGAAGCTACAAGAAACCCTGGACTAGGAATAATCTGCCTGGACAGGAAATTTCTTCCTGCCCCTTTGATTTAGTTAGTGGTTGCATTATGTCACATAAGAGTACATATTCCTTGTGCATAGTTTGCATCCTAGCTAATATAACTGTGATTGAGGGAGTGAGGGGGCTGGCTTCAACGATATCTTCAGTTCTATGGGTTAATTATGTAAATATCATTTATTTTTGATCACTTTTAAATGTATGGTCTTTCAATTTCATTGAACGTTCCCTTGTTCTTGCATCATAAGAAAAAGTAAGTAAGGATATCTGATCTACCTTTGATATGCCATTGAAATTACTCCAGTGTTTCTCAAAATATGGGGCACACCCACCTGAAGAGTAGAGGGTTACCTGGAGGGCATGGACAAATGTTTGAATTCTTCTCCAGAGTCTTAGGTTTCAAACTAAAAAAGAATAAGATTCTGGCTGCTATGGATGTGAAGAAAATCTTCAAAACCTGAAGTCAGAGTAACCAATGCAGAGACATCTGATTGAGTTTGCAGAGAGCCTGAAACAGGTGAGGTGTGAGCATCCCCTTTTCATTTCAATTGGTGATAAATCAGATGTGAATTATGATCCCTTAAAAGTCAGCATAGTGAACTGTTTAATTTCTCAAAGCATGTAAGAAAGAAGAAGTATCATATTATGAAAATCTATAACATTATTTCCCAAATGGGAGAGAAAGGTAAAGGACTAGCTGGGGAGGGGGATGGTGAAGAAGCTATATAGATCTTAAATATGACATGACAGGAGTCAATCATGTTGGCATGATTGGCTTCATTTTTCTGAAGGGATATTCAGCTTTCAAAACTTTGGGAAACACTGCATTATTCTGTATGGACCTGATCCAAAGTCCATTGAAGTCAATGGGCATCTTTCCATTGACTTCAGTGGGTTTTGGATCAGGCCCTATACCTCTATCATGTCTACTTTTGCTAAACTAAACAGTACCAATCTTTTCAATCTTTCTTCGTAGAGAAGTCTTTTCATGCCTAACAACTTACCGATTTCTAATATAGAGATATAGATAGAAACACTGATAAAGGGCATTAGGGTTACCATAACTGAACATGGGTGAAATCCTGCTACCATTGAAGTTAATGACAGAGCTCCCATTCACTGGAACCCATGTTCGTGGTGAAGCAATACCACTGACTTGTATAACACCAAAAGTATTAATTATATTTCCCATCTTGTTATTTAAAGAGCCTAACATGTTGTTTGCTTTTCTGACTATCACTGTATACTAAACAGATTATTTCCTTGGACTGTCTATAATAATGCCCAGGTATTTTTCCTGAGTGTTTACAATTTAGAACACAGAAATCTGAATGGGTATTTCTGATTACACTTCCCAATGTGCCTTACCTTGCAATGGCATATTAAACTGCATCTGCCATCATGTAGCCTATTCATCTAGTGTGTTAATATTCTTTGGAGTAACTCAGTTTTGACTAACAAATTTGTATCCAAATCCAAATTTTGCATTCTGGCTGTTTTCCCTGTTTGCTAATAATTAATAAATATATTACATAATTTTTTGTGAGGAATATTTAGACTTTTCAACAAAAATTGAAATCTGACAAATTTCAATTCGGAAGGGCCGCCACAGTACCTCATGTGAGTTGTCATTCAGGTGCCTCATGCTCCCATTCTCCTCTGCATGGGATTTCATCTCCACAATGCATTACAGTCTGCCCTCTTGGTGAGGGGAAGTAGAGCATCAAGGGAGAGGTAGTCCAGATCAGGAGCCCACCCTAAAAAGAAGACTGGGAACATAAGACAACTCAACTGCCACTCCTGTGAGGTACCCTCGTGACATATGAGAATTTAAATATTTCAGGGTTTTGCTTTAAGTGTTTAATTGAAAATGCAATTTTGTAGAAAAATAGTTTTGACAGAAAAATTTCTACTTGCCCTAATATTAAACAATGCTAGTTCTAATATGGATCATTGCGACACCCCTTGGTAGCCTTTTGCACTGTTGGATATTGACCATGTATTCCTACTCTTTGTTTTCTGTCTCAGCCAGTTTCTGATGCATGAGAGTACTTTGTGTCTGACCTCTTTATTATTTAATTTCCTTCACTGATGAACTTTGACAAAGGCAGTTTGAAAGTCCAAATGAATTATATCTTAGCATTTTTCCTTTTTTTTACTGTTTTGTTGACATGTTTAAACAGGGTTTTTTAGATTAGAGAGATATGTCATTTTATAGGATCCATGCTTGTTTGCTTCTACTGTATCATGTCCAACTGGGTGTTTTATAACTGTATGTTTCATTAGTCTTTCAAATCATTTTCCTGCTAGTAAAGTAAAATTTTCTAGTCTGCCATTTCCAGAATTATAGTTAATACCTTCTTTAAAGATAGTTCTCCAATTAGTCCAGCATAGAAATGGTAAAATGTTTCCATGTTTTTTTTTTCTTTTCTAAGAGAAAAATGATTATTTTATTGCACAAATTTCCCTGGTAAAAGTTCATTTTCAACTGAATTTTTCAGCTGTTCACTAGAAACTATTTTTTTAAAGTTTTCGGAAACTGAAAGACACTTTTTTTTTTAAAGTAGCTTTCTGTTGCAAGCAAGTTTTGTTTTGTTTTCAGTTTTTTATCAAAAAAACCACACAGATTTGGTAGAAAAATTATGACAAAAATGAAATTGTTTTCATTTCCATCAAAATAATCTGCAGGAAAAAAAGTTTCCCAACAAGCTGTAGTCCACTGCCACACCAATGACTGCATCACAAAGAATAAAAATGTACTAGATGAATAGTTGGCAAGTACATATCACTTCCCATATTCAAAGCATGGTAAAGACTTTAACTAAACTATGTTAGGCAGACATTATTAACCCAGGAACTACTATCTACATTTTACAGATGGAGACACTCAGCACGGAGGGACAACATCACTTACCCAAAACTCTGTCAGAATCAGGACTAGAACATCAGGGTATATTGTAGTTACCAATTACCAAAGAGTTGTGACAAGAATGGCAGTCTATCTCTTATCTTCTTCCACCTAATGAACTGGTAATGCATTCGATGAAGTGAGCTGTAGCTCATGAAAGCTTATGCTCAAATAAATGTGTTAGTCTCTGAAGTGCCACAAGTCCTCCTTTTCTTTTTGCGGATACAGACTAACACAGCTGCTACTCTGAAACCTGGTAAGAGACAGAAACCAAGGGACAGTCAAATTAAAATCTAAGCTGTTTCCTCCTCAACACTTCTCATTGGAGCGGGTTATGGAGTCCATCAATGATGCTGAATCAGGAGAGAGAGGGGAATAACAGTCAAATTCTACCCTAGCTGTGAAAATCTAAGGGGTTAGGAGCTCCCACTACACTATATAGAAGACAAAGAGCTACTTTTGAGGACACAGTTCAGCCGTAAATAAAGAGGCAATGGCTCAAATCCAGACGCTGGTCCATTGCAGAAGGATACTTATTGCCAAGGATCTTTATTTTCTCTTTTTATTTTGGACCATAAATGCTGACTCCATGGGCGTTCCAGGGTTGGAGCATCTATAGGAAAAAAATAGTGGGTTCTCAGCATCCATTTGCGGCCCTGCCGATCAGTTCTCCCTCTTCCCCCATCACCTCCCGCCTGCCTGAGGGTCCCACCAATCAGCTCCTCCCCTCCCTCCCATGCCTCCCAGCGCTCCCACCCACCATGGATCAGCTGATCAGCAGCATGCAGCAGGTGCTGGGGGAGAGGGGGTGGAACAGGGCAGGAAGAGGCAGGGTGGGGGTGGAGCAGGGGTGGGAAGAGGCAGGGTGGGGCCTTGGGGAAGGGGCGGAGTGGGGGGAGGGCTTGGGGTGGATTGGGGGAGCACCCCGGGGAAATTAGAAAGTTGGCGCCTCTGTTTTGAACAGCTCTGGGTGATTTCTATCAAAACTCAGCTTCCTATCAATACAGCCCACTGTTTCCTGAGAGGACAGTCGAATAAGACCAAAACTAAATTTCTTTAAATGACAAAAATGTCACTGACTTCAACAGCACCAGAATTTGGCTAACACAAGAGTCTACTGCACATTTAATTTTAAAAAAGAAACAAAATAAATTGTGTTTTTCCCTTTTACTGCACTCCTTTTATTACTGCTTCTCTAGTTTGTAGAGGTTTTATCTAATTCAAACTATAACAGTGGCTCTGAATGCTGATTTGCAAATACTCCAACCAGTGTCATTTTCAGATAATTAACTTGGCACTTAACAGCCCTGAGATTTACTTTATTGTTGAATTATTGTGAATTGTTATTGTTCGAGACTGATAGTACTAAGGTTTTGTTACCTTCAGTAGATTTCTAGTATGTCTCTTCATCCTGTTTGTGACAGACTGACAATATCCTGTAATATCCTGAACAAACCTCATGGGATTAAGTTAAACCTTGTTGAATTAGGGTTAACACCTTTGGGGTACATTGTATTAAAAATTCAACTGTATATGCATTATTGTGGCATTGTATGGAGCTTCTCTGGTAGGAAAGGGGATGCTAATGTACTTCCTCTGTTATCAGCCACAGACGTGCACATACACTAGGTCAAATAATATTTTCCAGGGACCAAGAGACAAAGAAAGGGTTGTTGGATAAATAGCCTAGTTTTAACCTGCCTCAGTGCCTTCTTTCTGGTCCAGAAAATAGACAGGACCCCTATCCTTAGGGTGGAGTTGGAAGGACTGGCCTATTGAGGTCGCATAAGACTGAGTGCTTGTTCTGACCTGAAGCTGTGAGGAACTTGTAACCCCTTGGGTGAGGGGTTGAAGGGCTGCTCCTGCCAGAATCCATGTTAGGGTGAACTCTGGTAAGCTTTTTAGCATGTGTGTAAATTCTTTTATTGTTTTAATAGGTTTTCTCTGTTATGATTTTTACCTTAATAATAAAGTAGGCTCGCATAGGACATGCTGTGTGGTACTTTATAACTGTAGCAATGGCATCTGTTAACTATTTCCGAAGAGAAAGCAAGCAGGTGTTCTTGGGCAACTTGGCTGTGCTGGGAATAGCACAGTGAAAGCAGGGAACTGTGCAGCCTGGAAATACCCCAGTCAGAAGGGAGAGAGGGTGGGTCTCTGCCCAGGAAGGCAATGGCTGGGGAGCTGGAATCATAAGAGTGGGTGCCTTTGCTGGACCACTGAGAGGAAATACAGATGCAGCTGCCATGAACTGTCATACTGGCATTGTCATAATTTTCCTTACCAAGATTAAACTAGTGGCCCGATTTTCAAGGGTGCTAAGCACTCATAACTAAAACTGACCAGAGGATGACAATTTGTGGCACCTTTTGAGATTTCCAAATTTGGTTTCATTCCAATTCAAACTAAAAATGTATGCGTGTTTTAGAGCCTGGCAGTTAGGTATGTGGAAGACCCAGGTCCAAACCTTGAATGTTAATTTCACACATCCCAATCCAGAGTCCTAAACACCAAGTCATATAGCAAGATGGTGTTGTGTTCAGAGACTGAAACCAAGCCCCCCCTTTTGGCAATGTCTATGTTAAAATTGAAACATCTTCACAAAACATTCTGTTTGCAATAAATCAGTATATTTGGCCAAAATTTCATTTAAGAAAAAAATATTCTGGCCAGCTCTACTCCCACTGAAATCAAAAGTTTTCATTCCTCATTACCTCTGAAAATCAAGCCATACCTCTAATTTTAGCACATTAGGACAATGACCACATGAACAAGATGTATGAGAAAGGATAGAGGGAGTATGTGACTAAGTATCCATTCATCCTGCAACATTAGTTAGCAAGTAAAACACAGAGCTACTGATGAGTGAGTGGGTGGGTTAACTTTTGCTTTCCACGTGGTGGAACTTTGTAGATCCCATGTGACATGTGCTTATCCCTTTCACCAATAAGGTATGGAACAAAATAGACAAAGTGATTATCAATAGATAAAATAATATTGTCCCAAAATACGCTGAGGTTCTGCATTATGGGAAATCCTTGGAGAGTAGGGAGGAAAAAAGATTTTCATGTTCTTGTATAATGAAGTTTGCAGCTTTTGGCTCTGGGTTTATTTTTCAAACAAATCTGCAATAGCAATTTCCGTTCTGAGTACTCTCCCAAAGCAATGTAATTATTGGCAGCGTTTCAATATGCATTGAAAATTGAAGCTGAATTAATATTTTATTAATTTTTTGATACTTAAAACCAAAATCTGGAAGATTATTTGACTTTTGGTAGCTGCAGAAAATATTACACACGTCTGAGTTTTTGAGGTCCTATGATACATACTCAGACACTATAGTGATCATATAGTTTTGGAATGTTGAAATGGACTGTGTAATTGATCTACGAGTGATAAGTGATGGGAAAGTACATTAAAAGATCCAACTTGTTTGTGGGGGGAAAATAGTCACTATGTAGGAAATGAATAGAGAAGAGGGGTTAATCACCTAAACCTGATATATTCATTAATTGTTCAGTATTTGGCAGCATTTAAACAACTAATTTGTACCACTCTATACTGTCATGTATACTATATAGTTACCATACCAGGGCACACCAGGCATTAATTCAGTCTAGTTTCCTAATATTAATTTTAACACCTTCTCTTTCCCTGATGTTTCTATTTAATATATATATGCACACGCACGTGCACACACACACACCATTTTACAATAACTGGTGATTTGCAGTTCTTTTATTACCACCACAGCAATCCATTGATATTGTTCTACATCAAATAAATAATAAATGTTCAAATAAAAATGACATAACTAGCTATATGTTTACCGTCTAATCAGTACAAATAATTCAAAAGATAAAAAGTTGAACTTTTAAGATTAAAGAACCTAATAAAAAGCTATTAGCACAATGTTTGTTATTAATTACCTAGGTGTTGCAGTGTTTCATTTTAATCTAGTAATAAATTCTTAACATATAAATTAAAATGACATCCACACTAATTTCTGCCTGGGAACAGGAAAGTTGCTATATTGTTGCAAGTAAAACCTGCACCTGTTTTTATAATTAGCAAGGAGATCGAGTTATGCAGAAAAGCCAGTTATTAGAAGTTATTAGGGAGATTTTCTGAAAACTAGTCAAATGGCTGTGTGATCACTATTGATTCAGAAAGTTATTTTTTGCAAAAATAGGTTGAGGTAGGGCTGGGACAAGAAGTCCTATTCAGAGGACATAGAGATGGGAAAGAGCTGATATAAATGTGTTTCAGAGTCCCAACATATAGATGCTCCACTCCTGTTTTTCTCCTTGCTCCTGCTGGCATTGTGCTAGCTCCATTGTCCATTTTTTACTTTTGGCAACTACTGAACATTGTTTACCAACATATAAATAAATCTACCCTATGATTTCAATTGGTTTTAGTATACTTTTTTCAATTCCACATTTGAGCTATTGTGTACTGTTACTACATGCTGTCAAAGAGCAGTTGCATCTACATTCCACACCGGAGATAGGTAGAAGAAGGGGAGAAATGATGGATGTCCAAAATTTGTACTGACAAGCCAGGGTCCTGAGGATGAGCAGAAACTGGAATTGGGTAAATAATTAATAAATATATTTGTTCAAATGTTTTTTTATACCAACACTGGACGAGGAACAATTTAGCACAATGGGTTTTTTTTATTCTTTCCAATACATAATATTTCAGACATCCACGATAGTAATAATAATTATTAATTATATTTCTCTTGCCTAGCAAGGAATGGATGGTGTCCAGTAACAATGTAAATCCAAAGCTGTCACTGGATAGTGCGGGATTCCACATGTTGAACACAAACAAGTTGCTGGGCAACACTTTGAAGTGATCATATTGAATTCTACCACTTAATTAGAATATTTTACTTCTATCCCCTTCCACCTGTAATTTATTAAACTTTGTCCAGCATACTTCAGACACTAGGTTATGTAGATTGGCATTCTTATAATATGCTTTCAGAGCACTAGAGGGAGAAAGATAAGTTAGTTTTGCTGATAAGAAACCAGACTTGAGATGACAAAGAAGATTAGAAAGTAATGAAGAATGCTGGAATGGAAAATTAATTTAGTGGGGCTATGGTGGTTTAGAAGGAGAGGGTAGGAGGGGAAGTATGTTAACTGTGAGAGTAAATCTTACCTTCTGAGTGTTCCAAAAGGTTATATAGTGCTTTATTAAAATATCACTGTTTTTACTATTGGCATCATAGGGTGATATAAGATGACAAATAAGAAGAAATTGCCTGTAGGTAATACTTGCTCGATAGTGCTACGTTTTAGATTGATCTCTCCCCTCTTTTTAGGGAGGTTTTGGTGGGCCTGAAGTTATTACAGATATTTCAGTTGCAAATCTTTCTAAATTGCCAATGTGACTTGGCATTGTCAATCAATTAATGAAATATCTTATACTATGTAACCCTGATATGGGGATCTGAAGCCAGACATTGTCAAATAAGCAGATTCTTATATTTCCTTAGAGAAAATCCCATGCATTTATTTGAAGATGCCTTATGCAGTGGTGTGGGACAGAAAGTCCCGTGCCCCCTAAATGAGTGTGTAAAATGCGTGGAGCCACCTCTGTTTGTGTCTCCTGCACAAGAGACACAGACATTTACAGTAGATGGGTTCAGGAGTGATCCTATGTGTACATGTTTCAGAGTAACAGCCGTGTTAGTCTGTCTTCGCAAAAAGAAAAGGAGTACTTGTGGCACCTTAGAGACTAACCAATTTATTTGAGCATGAGCTTTCGTGAGCTACAGCTCACTTCATCGGATGCATACCGTGGAAACTGCAGAAGACATTATATACACACAGAGACCATGAAACAATACCTCCTCCCACCCCACTGTCCTGCTGGTAATAGCTTATCTAAAGTGATCATCAAGTTGGGCCATTTCCAGCACAAATCCAGGTTTTCTCACCCTCCCCCCCCCCCCCACAAACTCACTCTCCTGCTGGTAATAGCCCATCCAAAGTGACCACTCTCTTCACAATGTGTGTGATAATCAAGGTGGGCCATTTCCTGCACAAATCCAGGTTCTCTCACTCCCTCACCCCCCTCCAAAAACCACACACACAAACTCACTCTCCTGCTGGTAATAGCATATCCAAAGTGACCACTCTCCCTACAATGTGCATGATAATCAAGGTGGGCCATTTCCAGCACAAATCCAGGTTTTCTCATCCCCCCACCCCCATACACACACAAACTCACTCTCCTGCTGGTAATAGCTTATCTAAAGTGATCATCAAGTTGGGCCATTTCCAGCACAAATCCAGGTTTTCTCACCCTCTGCCCCCCACACATACAAACTCACTCTCATGCTGGTAATAGCCCATCCAAAGTGACCACTCTCTTCACAATGTGTATGATAATCAAGGTGGGCCATTTCCTGCACAAATCCAGGTTCTCTCACCCCCTCACCCCCCTCCAAAAACATGTGTCCCATATGCAGCCTCTGTATTGCCCTGTCACGCCTGGAAGGTTGAGGAGGGCTATGTGCCTCCCTGATGCACAAACTTTCCCATTCCCCCTTGGTCCAGAGAAGCTTTATACAGGCTCTCCCTACTCAGAGCTGTGGCTAGCTGTCGCAGTGTATTTATCTATCTATTAACCTCAGGGTCACACTCAGAAAATGTGAAGAATCAAATCCAGTTGCCATTTCTGCAAATGATATGTTCATTTAATGTCAGTGTTGGACATCTGATTTACTTCCAGCATTCAATTTCTTAATTCCTTTTGTCATTTAATCCATTAATGATGTGGCTACCTCAGGCTAAATCAAAGGTGCTGGAGGATCTGTGGATTCTTCTTCTGTCTGCTTTTTTCAGAGAGATTAGAGTAGGAATTTGAGAGGTTAAAATATTTTGCAGTTCTTCCTGCCATCACAATACAGTAGTTCCTGGCACAAGTGTCTCACCAGCCAGCCAAAAACATTGACAGCAATAGCAGCAGCTGGTAAGGTACCTAAAATACTAATGAATTATTACTGATTATTTGTATACTGGTAGACTCCACAGTGAGGTCAGTGCTATCCACTAAAACAGCTGCCCTGCACAGCTCACAATCTAAGACAGGGAACATCTGAATGGGACCAGAGACTTTCATTTATTATATGTTCATATAGCATGTAACACAGAGGAGTCCAACCTGGTTCTGGCTGTTAGGTGCTACTGTAATATAAATATTAACTAATAGTTTGTTTTTATTGACCAATATTGTCTCATTGTTTGTTTCTTTGCACTCCTCCATCCATCTGTCCATTATTTTATATTTATACTGTAATTTCCTTGGGGCAGGGACCATCTCTTTCTTCTGTGTTTGCACTGGGGGCTCAATGGGGGTCCTGGTTTGTGACTCTGGCTCCTATGTGATACCAAAATAATAATTAATAATAATAATTATTATTATATTTAATCCTCCCAATAGTGTAGTATATCTAATTAAGAACCCTAATTTCTATCTCAAACCTCTGCAGTCCATTCCCATGGTTGCCAGTTCTATCTACAGTCCTGGAGTTTTGATTAAAAATTTCCCCTGCATTCACTTTCTGTTATGGTGGAGCTAAGCCCGACCCATATCTTCCTCCTGTTTCCCTTGCCCTCTCCAGACATAGCTGGGACTTCCTCAGCACTCATCAGGAGGGGGTAACAGCAGGACATGGGTATTTTCCCTTCAGCTCCTCCTCCCGCATGAGAGTCCAGTCCCAAAGGCAGCCAGGACTTCATCAGAAACATTGAAGAGGAGAGGAGCAGGGAAAGGCACAGCCAGAACCCCTGCTCTTCCCATCACTTCACAGCCCCTGGTCCCCAGTGATGTCAGTTTTCAGAGTAACAGCCGTGTTAGTCTATATTCGCAAAAAGAAAAGGAGTACTTGTGGCACCTTAGAGACTAACCAATTTATTTGAGCATGAGCTTTCATCGGTCATTGGTGGGCAGGATAGAACTTGGGACCTCTGGAGCTAAATGCATAAGCCCCTGTTGCATGAGCTAAATGCCATGTGGCCCTTAGCTAAGGCTGTAGAGCAGACTTGTTAATTTCTCTCTAAGTGGTCTTGGTGCCCCTAGATGGGACAGAGCACCACACCCAGGAGGTGGGTGGGTTACATCGGCGGACTTACTTTATAGGATTAGAGTGCTGGACATTATTTCCCTGTTTGTTTGTTGGTAGTTCGTTCCAGACTCCTCCCTCACATTTCCCTGCTGCCAGCCTCACTCTCCCTGCCCTCCATGTTCCAGCCTTCCACTTCTTCTCGTCATCAGTTTCCCTCTTCCTCTTCTTTCCATTTTCATACCACATTCGTTCCATTTTCACTCCTATTTATTCACACCTTTACGCAGAGGTGAAAGTAAGCGGGTCTGGTCCAGTACGGCATACTGGCAAGAGCTGGTATGTCCTGTGTGACAAAGCTCTGTCCTTGTCTCCGTGGGTCCCACGTTTCCTGGCGGATTTCGCTAGCCTCAGAGGCTCACTGTGACACTCCACGTAACCCTTCTTTCTCTAGAGACAAGGGTCACAGTCTACTGAGACATTTTCATCATAAGTCAGCAAGGGAGGTGAGGAGAAGTTATCCTTCCTTGCACAGTCTCTGTTGTCTCCCAGTCTCAGTGATTAATCAGGGGGCAAAGGTGGGGGGGGGGAGCCCGGGCCCACCCTCTACTCCGGGCTCCAGCCCAGGGACCCTAATAGTATCACATATGGTAGCTGACCTTTTAGAAACATGACATGTACAATTCCCTGGGCTACTTCCCCCACAGCAGCCCTCACTTCCTCAAGCTCCACCGCACCCTTACCTCAGGGCCTCCTTCCTTGTGCCAGATATGGTGTGTATTACTCAGCCTCTCCAACAGCACAACTTCCTTCCACAGCTCCTGACGTGCACACCCACCTGACTGACTGGGAGGCTTTTAACTAGTTTCAGCCAGCTCCTGATTGGGTTCAGGTGTTCCAATTAACCTAGCCTTCTCCCTGCTTTCTGGAAAGTTCTTAATTGGCCCCAGGTGTCTTAATTGACCTGGAGCAGCTGCCATTTCACTTAACCTGGTACCAGGGATTTGTTTAGCCTGGAGCTAATATATCTATCTCCCACTACTTTTCTATAGCCATCTGGCCTTGCCCTGTCACATGTGCCAGACCGGACCGGCTTGCCCAAGCTGGCGATTTAAAGGGCTCAGGGCTCCCTGCAGCGGCCGGAGCCCCCGGCCCTTTAAATCGCCTCCTGAGGCCCGCTGCTGCTACCCTGGGGCTCTGGCAGCCAGGCTTGGGCAGCGATTTAAAGGGCCCAGAGCTCCTCTGTGGTAGCTGTGGCTGAAGCCCCGGGCTCTTTAAATCGCCCCTGAGCCCTGGGGCTCCCAGCCACCTCTGCAGCTGGGAGCTTGGGGGGTGATTTAAAGGCCTCTGCAGTTGGGAGCCCCGGGGCCTTTAAATCTTTAAAGTCCCCGCCTCTTCTGGTTGAGGCCATGCCTCTTCCGGTTGAGGCCACGACCTCAGGACTCAGGACTTCAGCGTACCTGTAAGTCCTTTAAGTAACTTTCGCCCCTGCCTTTATGCCATTCTACCTCAACCCATATTTAAAAATAAAGGCCACATTACTCAGATGGAAATAACCAACTATGTACCCATCTTCATCGTGGCCACTTTGCTCACCTGTTGTTTTCCTTTTTCTCACCCTTCTTCTGTTTTGTCTTTTTATATTGTGATCTCTTTGCAGCATGGACTGTGTCTTGTATATTTTTTTATACTACCTTGCACACTGGGGAATTGGGGCCTGTGTGGGCTGCCTCAAAACAAAGAATAGCACAGTCTGTACAAGAACTTATTGTATCTGGCTTTGCTTTCTCATTGGTTGGGAGGGGAGTAACAGAGAGAATTTGAAGTTTTGTTAATGAGAACATTAATTTTGAGATTCCAAAGTAGATTAGAAACAAAGATTGGAAAATCAATTTAGTTAGATTAGGGGTAGTGGTCAGGAAAGGAGAATGATACGTCTGAAACGAGATTTTTGTTTATATTCGACTAATGAAGTTCAAACATATTAAAATGTCTTTAAGCTGGCTTTTGCAGAGAGTGTGGAAATTCCTGGTTTAAGCACAAAGAAGGTGGAAAACACTGGGCAAAATCCTGAGAGGTGCTAAGTACTGTACCTGGCCCACACACTGTAGTCAGTGGGAGTTGGCTGGAGTAAGGAAGGCATTAAAAGTGAGACCTAGCATGTGTTCAGATATGCACAGCCTGGCGTTAGTGATAGGGTAGAGACACTGCCCAAGGGGGAGTTCTGGGAAGAACTATATGCAAGCACGAGGTGCACATGGTGTGTTTTCAGGCAGCTGCTTGCATCACCTGCTGCTCATGGTCCATATGTGCATAATGAAAGCACTCCCTCCATTCGTCCAAGCACGAGAACTAGCTGCTACTCTGGTTCTTGTGTGAGGTGAGGAAAGGGGGGGGGGGGGAAAGCTTCTTACACCACCTCACAACGCTGTATGCTAAAACAACAGCCATTCAAAACCAGGCCCTGAGGAATGACCTCAGAAATGGACCATCCAATTCCATGGGATTACAGATGATCAGTGTTCCTTCAATTTGGCCCATAAAATAGGAGATCCCTAGAGAATTCCACAAATGATCCAATCCTGCTTCTGTTGAAACCAGTGGCAATTTTGCTATTCATTTTAATGGCAGCAGAAGCAGGTCCAAAACAAAATTGGTATGAACTTATAGTTAGTGGCCTAGATGCTGAACCAAGTTAGTTTCTTCTCCGTGAACAGTAACCATTAAGTCTGAACTGAATTATTCAGAGGGGAAAGTAGGGGGAGGGGGGAATATAATGAATAATTTACATAGGTTGTAGATGAGTTAAAAGGTGTATTTTAGAAAAAAATAGGCTTTGTGAATACATATCAAGTTAAATGATTTCTATTGGGTTAAATCACTTCATCTCTCTCACCTCTCTCACACACACTTCCTTCAGCATGAATTATATTAATGTATCTGCATAATCACATTTATTGTGATCATTTAAAAAAAATGAAAAAACAAACAAGCAAGCCTAACATTCGAGGCATCTTTTGCTCATTTTGTAAATGTCCCATTCGTACCATATCAATAGTTTCCCCTTTACTTAGACTCCAGAGATCTATATACTGGGTTTGAGGTTCAAGGGACCCTATGTATATTAGACTCGTAGATATTAAGGTCAGAAGGGACCATTATGATCATCTAGTCTGACCTCCTGCACAATGCAGGCCACAGAATCTCACCCATCCACTCCTGCAATAAACCTCTCACCTATGTCTGAGCTATTGAAGTCCTCAAATCATTGTTTAAAGACTTGAAGGTGTAGAGAATCCTCCAGCAAGTGACCCGTGCCCCATGCTACAGAGGAAGGCGAAAAATCCCCAGGGCCTCTTCCAATCTGCCCTGGAGGAAAATTCCTTCCCGACCCCAAATGTGGCGATCAGCTGTACCCTGAGCATGTGGGCAAGATTCATCAGCCAGATACCCAGGAAAGAATTCTCTGCAGTAACTCAGATCCCACCCCATCTAACATCCCATCACAGGCCATTGGGCCTATTTACCATGAATAGTTAAAGATCAATTAATTGCCAAAATCATGTTATTCCATCATACCATCTCCTCCATAAACTTATCGAGTTTAATCTTGAAGCCAGATAGGTCTTTTGCCCCCACTGCTTCCCTTGGAAGGCTGTTCCAGAACTTCACTCCTCCGATGGTTAGAAACCTTCGTCTAATTTCAAGTCTAAACTTCCCGATGGAAGTTTCCACAGAATGCTCCAAGCATGTGGGATCTTGATCTACACTCTTGTTGCTTCGGCATGAATCCTTTTGTTGCCAGCCAGTCTCTCTCCTTCTACCTCTTGTTTGTTATAAGCTGCTCTAGGTCATTCTCTGCACAAGTGTAGAGGATACAGACAAAAAAGCCTCAGGAGTGCCAGAAATGACACCAACATTAACAAGCAGTATTTGTACACAACAGAATACAATGGAAAAGAGTCCATGTCTAGCGGCTGTTTCTAAGCTGATGGAAGACATAGAAGAAGGTGAACTTTCTGTGCTACAGAGTCAAGAGCCTAAATTCAGCTTTCTCTCTAGTGGCTAGTACTGTAACAAGAGATTTTTGCTTTGAATGTTCTGAAATACCTTGCAGCACCTTAACACAGGCTTGCAGAAAAACCTCGGAGGGGGGTTAAAAACACTGTGAAATTCACTTCTCCCAAATGACATAATTAAGGTGGTGACAGTACCATGACACGTTGATTTGCATAACACAGTAATCACTTCTAAGATTAAGTAGAAATTAATGATAGTTTACATTTAGAAAATCCACCATGGTGGACCAAAATGAGATGACATAGTTTAAATTTAGAGAGCAGAAAATTCCAAAAGATTCCAGCAACTCAGAGGGAGGAGCGCTGCTATCTAAAAGTACTTGTGAATGACTGAAACATTTAATGTGTAAAAAGAAAAGGAGTACTTGTGGCACCTTAGAGACTAACCAATTTATTTGAGCATGAGCTTTCGTGAGCCACAGCTCACTTCATCAGTCCACACAAGAGATCCACTTCCTGGACACTACAGTGCTAATAAACAATGGCCACATAAACACCACCCTATACCGGAAACCTACTGACCGCTATTCCTACCTGCATGCCTCCAGCTTTCACCCTGACCACACCACACGATCCATTGTCTACAGCCAAGCTCTGCGATACAACCGCATTTGCTCCAACCCCTCAGACAGAGACAAACACCTACAAGATCTCTGTCAAGCTTTCTTACAACTACAATACCCACCTGCAGAAGTAAAGAAACAGATTGATAGAGCCAGAAGAGTTCCCAGAAGTTACCTACTACAGGACAGGCCTAACAAAGAAAATAACAGAACGCCACTAGCGGTCACCTTCAGCCCCCAACTAAAACCCCTCCAACGCATTATTAAGGGTCTACAACCTATCCTAAAGGATGACCCAACACTCTCACAAGTCTTGGAAGACAGGCCAGTCCTTGCCTACAGACAGCCCCGCAACCTGAAGCAAATACTCACCAACAACCACATACCACACAACAGAACCACTAACCCAGGAACTTATCCTTGCAACAAAGCCCGTTGCCAATTGTGCCCACATATCTATTCAGGGGACACCATCACAGGGCCTAATAATATCAGCCACACTATCAGAGGCTCGTTCACCTGCACATCCACCAATGTGATATATGCCATCATGTGCCAGCAATGCCCCTCTGCCATGTACATTGGTCAAACTGGACAGTCTCTACGTAAAAGAATAAATGGACACAAATCAGATGTCAAGAATTCTAACATTCATAAACCAGTCGGAGAACACTTCAATCTCTCTGGTCACGCAATCACAGACATGAAGGTCGCTATCTTAAAACAAAAAAACTTCAAATCCAGACTCCAGCGAGAAACTGCTGAATTGGAATTCATTTGCAAATTGGATACTATTAATTTAGGCTTAAATAGAGACTGGGAGTGGCTAAGTCATTATGCAAGGTAGCCTGTTTCCTCTTGTTTTTTCCTACCCCCCCCCCCCCCCAGATGTTCTGGTTTAACTTGGATTTAAACTTGGAGAGTGGTCAGTTTAGATGAGCTATTACCAGCAGGAGAGTGAGTTTGTGTGTGTATGGGGGTGGGGGGGGAGTGAGAAAACCTGGATCTATGCAGGAAATAGCCCGACTTGATTATGTAAAGAGTTGTCACTTTGGATGGGCTAGCACCAGCAGGAGAGTGAATTTGTGTGGGGGGGTGGAGGGTGAGAAAACCTGGATTTGTGCTGGAAATGGCCCACCTGTTGATCACTTTAGATAAGCTATTACCAGCAGGACAGTGGGGTGGGAGGAGGTATTGTTTCATATTCTCTGTGTGTATATAAAGTCTGCTGCAATTTCCACGGTACACATCTGATGAAGTGAGCTGTGGCTCACGAAAGCTCATGCTCAAATAAATTGGTTAGTCTCTAAGGTGCCACAAGTACTCCTTTTCTTTTTGCGAATACAGACTAACACGGCTGTTCCTCTGAAACCTGTCATTTAATGTGTAGTATTTTTGGCATTGCATTTTCTACTCAACCTTTTGACATACAACTTTGTATGAAGAGAGTGAATTTTTCAGTCATTTCATAAGGGTGGAGTGTAAGATGCATAAATGTTCATGGAGATACTTTTTTGTGTTCAGTGACAAGGCAGGGATTTTGTTGTAAACCAAGTAGCTTGCAATCATCAGTTAAAGAGAATGACTCCTTATGCTGGTTCACCTTTCAGTAGTTGGCTAATCTATTAGCAGTTCCCTTCACTTTTGTCAAATCTCTAATCAGTGACCTCATTCTTTATACTTTCTGTGGGAACAACTGGTGGCTCCTTGCCTGTGTACTGAAATGACTCAATCATGTCGCCTAAAATTGAAATGTAAAGATATATGAGATCTGACAAGTTCAATTTCACATTGGTCAAAAGCAACTAAATATGAAGGTCCTAAAACTGAGCCACCCCTCAAAGTGCATTCACATGAAAATTTTGAATTACGTTTCTTTGTAATAATTCACAAACAAAACCAGACTTAAATTTTTTAAAAAATCAAACACCATGTTTAAAGAATATAAGAAATGTTGATATGAGAGAACCAACGTGTTTTCCATAACTCCTCCTCCCCTTTCTGTCTTAAGGGTAACTCAGAGTAACAGATATTGACATATAACATTGAAGTATAAAATGAAGAATGTTAATG